CAGCTTTAAATTTTAATAATGTTGTATAGACCTATTGATTTTCTGTTTATAGAACCTTTAATTGTTTGTTGTCTGTGTGTTAAGTTGTGTTATTTTCAATGTTATCATAAGTGACTATTGTCTCATGTCAATAGTGTTGAAGATATGAATGTTTGTAATTTATATGAAAGCATGATGTTTGTCTATTTTTTCCTGCAAAATGAATGAATGAACTACTAGTAACTATTTCAATAATTCTAGGTTTACTATGAAATTCTAAATAATCTCTGACCACTCACTGTGGTCGATATTGCAAGGTAGTCTTAAGTTTAGTGAACGATCAATAGAATTCTTGATGCTATCTGACTAGTTCTGCTTTGAAAGCAGAACCATGGAATTATCTGTGCATTTCTTCATTAACAAAAAAATAACTGAAAATAGCTGCTTTGGCAGCCCTAGAAATAGCATCTCACTTGAACCATATTGTTATTAAGAAATGTTATTACAAAGTTTTGTATTAGTTTTCAAAATGTGAAATAAATTCTTCATTTTCAAATGAAAATAAGCATTGGGTGCCTCAATTTTTTTCTTTATTTGTTTTAGAGTGAACTAACTAAACAGTCCCTTTGAAAAACAGTAACTATAAAAGCTACACATCTATCCTACCACTGCTTACTTCCTTACACACAACAATATTCTGCTCCATGTTTCCATGGCAACGTGGGTTGCTATGGTAATGGTGCTGAATGTTTACCATTAGTGAAGCCGAAATGTGCTCCGAGCTCACTTACAACAGCGTGCGAATAGCTCACCAAGTTCGCGAACATGTAGGGATAGCAGCTATTTGTCATAACTGAACGCTATTTGTATCGGACCTAATAATAGATTTTCCATTTTAGGAGGAAAGAAGGACTGCTGAACGGAAAAAGCATTTATTGTGTATTGTCACGCAGCACCTTCGTGACGAAGGGTTAGTTTTGTTTAGAAAGAGTCAGACCCCTTAGTCCCTCCGATATAAAATGCCGTAACACAGGGAAGTCCACTTCACATCGTTTGACAGGTACCTGGACTCGGCCCGTCTATTAGCGAAGGAATCAGGACTCGCCGATCAATATGAAGTGTGCGACAACATCGATCTTTCTACAATCGTCAAAGAGTTCGAGGACTATTATTATGTGCGCTTCCAAAAGCACCCGAAACTCTGCAAAAAATCTGATCAGCCAGGAGACGTGTCGACTTCAAACACGAAGGGGCATGTCCGTAGGAAGCCCATTCCCAGGTAAGTAACGTAGTGATCCACATCGAGCGAGCTCTGGACGTCGGGTGGAGGTGGTGTGCGTTACAATGTGAAATCGTGCAAAACGAAATGAGGATGTTTATGGGTTCGTTGGATAGGAAGACGCCCACGGAGGCTTTCCCCGGCCATGGTGACGGCGTGGCCGCCCCAGCGTCCACGGAGCCTCTTGAGTTATTGACAGTGATGGCGTACCCTCTGTCGCAGGCCGGCACGGCCGGTGCGGAGAGCGTCGATGACGTCCCTCCGCCGGAACGGCTCCTGAAGCCGGTTGCTGGTATGCACAAGGACCCCGAGTGGAGGCATTTCGCGGAGATCATTTCCCGGGTAAGTATGACGATGACGAGGATAATGTGCAGGTCCTCTGTGGCCATCTCGACTTTGATCAACGCAATGAACGATCTACCCCACCAGGATATATTCATGCACAACCCCAGCGTGCGGTGGAACGACATCAAGGGCCTACGCGAGCCCAAACGCCTGCTCCGCGAGGCAGTGGTCTACCCTATCAAGTACCCGGAGTTGTTCAGTGGCATCTTGACGCCCTGGAAGGGCCTGCTGCTGTATGGGCCTTCGGGCACAGGTGAGTGCGCCCCTTTCCTCCCCTCAATGCCTGGTCGAGCCTCCCCCCACGCCGAGCCCGCCC